AGAACCTATATCTTTTTATATGAATTATTAACATTGTACATTAACACGTTGACTGCCACGTTGGTCACCGATGGCCAGAGCTTCCAAATTTCTGAAGAATTACAATAAAAAACTTGATTTTAAATAAAAATATTTAGTAACACAAGTAGCTAGATCATAGCGTAATATGACTAATGTGATACTAAATCGTTAATAATTATTTTCAATATAATTTGCCTTTGTTATTAAAGCATAAGTATTGCTATTCAAAACGCTGGAAATTCTTGTGGCAATTAATGTGTTAATATAATTATTAATATTAATTACGAATTTTTACGTAATTATTTAGAGAATAATTCGGAACGAAAACGGTTTCTATGTTGGTACAATTTATCGAGGTTATGTCGCCCCGGGCGAGAAATGCGTACTCTCCGTTCGGCGAAGCAAACGAAACATTTTGAAAAATCGCGAAAGTCGGGGCGCGGTGCGTTTAACAGGAAAATACGCAAGCTTGCCAAATAGCTGGCGTCAAGAAAGCAGCCGCGATTCGCATTTTTCCCAAGGATTGGCAAGCGGCCCAGTTTTCACCGGAATTGGACGCGCGAAGCCAATATATGAAACACTTGATTTCACCCGAAATCGTGTTAACACGGTAAAAATGTAGCGATACCGATCGGGCGATTCGTGTTCTATCTCAACTATCGTTACGAATCTATCGGACCAATGTTGTATCGCGTCCCGTGACTCGCGATATCAATAAATTGAACCGTTTATTTTGAAAGTGATTTAAGCCCACTTAAAAAAAAGATTAAAAAGTACTATTAAAGAATAAAAAGATTATGCAGAATTCCCGCTATTATAACGATTAAATAGGTTTTCTTGAAAAATGGACTTAATGGCCACTTTCAAAATAAACGGCTCAAATAACCGATAATCTGGTTTCGATCGTTTCCTTATTCTCATGATTAGCGATATTTCTCCTGTACATGCAGATAAGCATGACGGAAATAAAATAATCTCTCAGGTGAATCGACAAGAACGGTCGGTTACGTCAAGCGTAACGGCAAGTTTTCAAACTAATTATGGTAAGACGGAGCGCGGGTCATCTCTTACGTTTCACGGGCGAAGTCAATAACGTGGTTATGTAATAACGCAAAGAGCACAATTGAAATTGTATAACCGATTCTACGATGTGAACCTCGGGTACGTTCTGAATCCATACATTAAAGTCCCATTCCCATTAGCGAAATTCAATCCGTACCTCTTCTATCGTGCAAATATAATTCGAAATTAGAATACCACATTTTGAAACCGGATACACGTTTAATCTACTTTTCCTGTCGCATTCATAAGTATCTGCCCAAATACCGTACAATCGTCCAATGTGTCACGCCTTTTTACATCACGAGGATGAGTAACACGTGGATTACCGAGAAACGCGGTTACGCGTTTACGCAACAAAAATCGAGGCGGATCGTGTTATTCTCTCAATGTCTTTATATCTCTCAGAAATTCAAATCAATTCGATGGTAATGGGATATTTAGGCAAACAACAGATAGACACTACGCATGTTCATTTTTTCTTTTTCGATCTCTTCCGGTCCGAAAAAAGCTGAATCACCCTAAACTCCGATATATCACATTAAAAAAAGAACCTCCAATGAAAATTACTGGAAAAAGTATTATAAATATTTCAAGTGTAAATCCACGCTGATATGCCGTATCAAAAAAAGGATTGCGAATACTTCAAGTGTAAACACGGCTTAACACGTTCGCTACCAGTGCTTATTTTGGCGACGGTCTGGCTCAATTACAATATTTCCTTCAATCCAATAAATCTACTAAACAACATATTAGAAAAATGAAACTGAAACGAGTCATTGAGTTCCTAAATATAATGTTTATAATTTCTAATAACAATATCCATAGGACTAATTTCATTTTCGTTATGTAAAATATAGGATTACCATCGTCACAAATATGTGACGCTGATAGCGAACGCGTCAAGCCTCCGAAAAATGAAGAAAAACGAGCGTATCGCGGAAGCGTGATTGCGGTGAGATTGAATGAGTACACGTGCACGGGAAATTCTACTATGGGTCCCGTTCTCGCGTGCAACTGCACTCGTAACGCGATTAATAAAATCGATTCAAATTCAGCCTACAGCGGGACGAGTCGGTTTCGACGCGAAACGCGTGTGTGCTCTCTGTATCGCATTACATAATCTAAGGACAGGCTCGATGCTGTCTAATTTTAAGGCGACACTTCTTTACTGGAGAGAAATAAGTGGCGGTTC